GGTATCAACGTGTTATTCTGACAGCATTGTGCTTTGGCACATGATTTATTAGAATAACGGTGGTCTCATCTCATATCCTGATGTGGAAAAACTCTAAACTGTTAATGTCAGTGTGTCTGACATGCAAACAAGTCGCCATCTTGGCTGGTGTTCGCAAGTGGAATTCCTTGATGGTAAGAAAATCGCTGTTAAATGTTTATCCTTGAACGGTGTTAACGTGGTCTCCAGTGTCTGCCGATGGCAGCCAAACCAATTATAAGGCGGCTACCGGGGAGAGAGAAACACCATCATGGATCGTTTAGGAGTTCTAGAGAAAAAGATTAGGCCTTCTGTCCCAGAAGCACGTAGTGTTTTGGGACGTCGTGGAGCAAGCGTGGGTGGTTGGTGAACGGGGTAAACATATTGCTCCATTTCTTCCGCACTTCTCTCGATCTTTCCTCCCCTTGATCTCTTGACTATTTGAGATTCGTGTTCATGCATTTGTATCTCCTTTGGCAGGAGAGAGCTGCGTATCTCGGTAATAATTGTCATGGCTATAGTTGGAGAGCTGCCGAAGGCTATAGATAAGTGAAAATACCTACGTGCTGTGGATGGCCGAGTCTTCGTCTTTGATAGTTAGTGTACGAGTGTTCATTTGAATAATATACCATACTTCAATCCTCATGGTTTGTTTATAGCCATAATTGTAAATCATAGTCATGGTACAGAACGTTAATAAATAGGTCTGAAGTAAATCCTCCAAACGATCACAGAACGAATGAAACGAACTCCACGACCAATACACAATAGACAAAATTTTTGCAGTAACAGCAAAGCAAAACACATGATATAGCTAAATGTTTAGCCAAGCCATCGGGTATTTGCGTCCCAATCTGGCGAGCACTGGAAGATCGCAAACTCTCCAGCAAGTGCTATTGTCTGCCGGCAGAGTTGTAATAAAAATCGCCCTGACAAATTATGTTATGGCTGCCAAGAGTATTGCTTGTAAAGTCACGCTGGTGCCGGTTCATTAAACCATCCCACCCTTGCACGGAAGCGCTCTTGTCGACATAAATATCTTGCGCTGTTTGGGAGGTGGACACATCAGGTATTAACTTGTCATCCATTGGATCGAGCTTGTACATGTCGTCCGCAAATTCGAGTGTCTTAGGAATCTTTTCCAATGGAGCCACAGCGACCTTATAGATGGTGGCTTTTCTCATGGAGACGTTAACATCCTCGGCGTTATTGTCAGAAATGGCACAGTCGTCGAATAGTTTCCTATTCAAGAGACTGGCTACCACCTTGTGATATCGCGGGTAATCAAATACGTCATACGATTTTTGTTGTTTAACAAGCTGTTTCGCGAGAGTCCATTTCTTATTTACATCGGCGCCTATGTAACCGGTTTCTTCAACCGACAGACTCTGCCCTCGGCCAATCTCTAACAAGATGATGCAGAGAGAAAGAACCCTAGGATATGGATAAATGATAGAATGCTTGTCGCAGTATTCCATAAATCCATCGTTTTTGTCAACAAATTTGATAACGAAGTAGGGCTTATACGCAAAGAGTACAGTTTCTCTTATCGCATTAATACCACTGTCGTCACCTCTCGGCTCAGGGAGGAAGTGTATAGTGTCGCTCGACCACTTTGTATTCATCCATGGTGAGTCGTAATACTGCCAGAATGATCAGGCAACAATATAAGCTAAAACAAGCTTCATCCGATGAGAGAACCTATGGGTTTTCAAAATCTCTTCAAGGGACTTACTGGGACCAGGAATTGCATGCTGGGTTATGGGAGAACCGTGGTGCAGGTGATAGAGCTTAGAGTCTTGGACATGGCAGCATATGCGACTTTCAAGCTTGGCTCCGACAATCTCGCAGAAGAGACCGGGTAGTACGACGCTTTGCTGTTCAGATCGTCGCGGACTCGGTATTCCAGTGGCAGGATCGTCAGTGTGCCTGATCATCTTTCTATTATGACTCCTGTACGACAATTGAGTCAGTATTTGGCATGTTCTCTAGGTCCAAAAAGCTTGACCCTACGTTGGCACTGTCAACTGTAGATCCTGCCAGTAGTCGCAAGAATTGGGGGAAGCTGAAAAGAGAATATCAAACACCACGCGACCGTTCTCCTGCCCTGAGTCACTCTATATAAACCAAGCAGAGTGGTTACGGCATGTTGAGAAGGATCATCCTCGATGCTGGGAGTGCTTACCATGCCGAAAGCGTGGTCAATCATCCCTAGTGTTTACTTCGATCGAGGAGTTCATCAGGCACACCAAGCTACACCATGGTGATAGTATCACAGAGGATCAGCATCCCACATTGATCTCCGCTGCTGCTAGGGCAGCCCCTTTTGACATAACTCAATGCCCTCTGTGCGACCAAATGGGTCCCGCTGATTCCGATGAACTGCTCGACCACATTGCCGAACATGTGCATACCTTTTCGTTACGGTCTCTTCCCTGGCCAGACGAGCCAAGTACCCACGGGAATAAGCTGAATTTTTTTGATAACCATGATTACTTCGAAGACGGCTCAGACGGCTCAGACGGCCAGTCATACGACGTATTTAATTTAAAAATTACTATAATAATATAATTAAAATAAATTATTATAATATAAATAAAATAAATTTATATTATATAATACTTAATAATATATAAACTATTATAATTACTAATAGTTACTTTATATAGCTATTTATAACCTTAAATATTAAAAATATAACTTTAAAATATATAACGAAAGACGCTGACGATCTTGGTTCTTTGCCTTCAAATGCTTCTTCAACGCAGCGCAGCTTCTCTACAGACGTCGACGAAGGGTCTGCAGAGCTCATGGAGGTGCAGCCCCCACTCAGGGTAGGAGGCTTATGGAAGATGCAGATGTCACCCAGAGGCCCTCCCTACAAGAACTACAAAATTGCAATCATTTGTATATCGCAGCTCGAGTTGACGGCCATCCGCGCCTTGTTCGACGAAATCTATCAAGATATACAACTACATCCGAGTGGCAGCAGTAGGTACTTCGATGACACCGATAAATACATTCTCGGCCGCCTGGGGACACATTATGTGCTTGCTACCCGTTCACGAATCGGACACTATCAGATGTTTGGCGGCTTTAAATTCGCCTCGGATATTGAGAAAAATTTCCCCAAAATAAGGTCGTATTTTGTTGTGGGAACTGGTGGAGGAATACCCTCAGAACGACATGATATTCGCCTAGGTGATGTTGTGGTTCAGCGCTGGTATCATCAAGTTCAATATCGAGGGAGTAATGCAGAAGCGGGAGAGTGCGGAATTCATCGAACGTGTCGGGCCGTCGATGTTCGCTGCAATGAGCTCGATACAAGCTGATAAAAGCCTCCTTTACAATGTTTTAAAGGGACACCTAGAAAACATAGTAAGCTCGGAGCCTGAGTATCAAAGCCCTGGAGAGCATCGTGATACGCTATTCCACGCTGGTTCCAAACACAAATACCGACAAAAGACGTGTGAAGACTGCGAGGGTCCTCATGGTCAGAGAAAGCCTCGGCTTCCAGGGCCACATATTCATCATGGCTTTATTGGCTCTGTAAACTGTCCTGTAGACGACACAACGTCTCGGGACTACATTGGTAAGATGGACGTTCTAAGCCTTGAGGAGGAAGGTGTTGGTAGCCTTATGTTGGCCAGAAACAACTGCTTGATGATTCAGGGAGTTTGCGATTATGCCGACTCGCACAAGAATGACGAGTGGCACAAGTATGCAGCAGCTACTGCTGCTGCCTTTACTAAAGTTTTTCTTCTTTTGGAACCTGACTATATAGACACTCACTATATAAAAGACGTAGGGCGGTTTTTTTATACAAATCATGCAAAAGCAAGAGCTATGGTTCCTTAGCGATGAAAGGTTAGTCTGTCTAGCTCTTACGCTTGCGATGGCAAGGGGAAACATAAGAGTTAGCTAAAATCATATTATTTTATCTACATGGTCGAACATTCGAATGATAAAGAGAGAAAAAGTCTTATACATTTAAGGTTACTCATTAATGTATAGCACAAATAGAACAGAACAGTAATGAACAACATCCTCAACACTTCAAAGTACCTGCTCTTTCTAGCTAGACCTCCACTTGCTCATCAATCCGCTCTTTTTTTTTTATTCTTTTTTTCTTCTTTTCTAAAAACAAGAATTGAAGAAATAGTTACATGTTTCTCCTTCTCGGGCATGCCGTTGTTTCGCCACGGTAGCTCAAGTAACGTCACGTCAAAATCTCCGAATACCATGATTCTCCGTTTCAGCTAAAGCCAAAAAGCCTTGTAGAGCTTGGTCCCAAAAAGAGCATTGAGTGGTGGATTAAAAAGAGCCCGGCGGCTTTTCTAGTTGAAACAGTAATGAGTCATTGGTGAGCTTAGCATCACATCTCTCTCAGAAACTTCACATGTCTTTGGGAAAAAAGAGTAGGCTGTTACAGTATAAAATTTTCGTTCTAGTACCCACTCGATTTCGATCGGTTTGAAGCTTCGCAGACTAAATTAGCATCGTGCATTAGTCCACAAGGCTGAAATGCTTAGTTTGGGGAGAGAAGTGACGAGAAAGAAAAAAAAAAAAAAAAAACAATCAAGGAGGGAAAAAATTGTGTTGCGCCATCCAATAATAAAGAATCAATTGATTTCACATGGCAAATTAAAATATATCTCAACAAATATCATTGGTATATTAGTTATTAATTATCTCCTCCTCTCGGGTATCGAACAAAGCAGAACGCGAATGCTGTATACTAGCAACATGAATTTTTTCAAGTTTTTTAATAGTGAATTCTCGTCCATTTGACGTGCAAAAACAAAATGAAAAGTGGTATCAGTGAAAGCAGTCTCGACAGGGTATCTTGGTATCTTGAAGAAATGCAGATCCTTCCATTCCCAGTCCTCTCATGCGTGTTTTCTTTTCGCAACAATTATATCAAGGAAAGTTTTGCAAAGTGTTTAAAGCCGTTAAAAAAACACTCGCTGTCAGCGAGTTCTCTAAGCGGCCGCAATGACGGCGGGGGTAGCGGTGGTGATGTCCTCGGGCTTGTTCTCAGCCTCGGCCTCGACAGGCTTGGGGGCTTCCTCAGTGGCGACAGCCTCCTCCTTGGCAGCCTCCTCGGTCTTGGCAGCCTCCTCGGTGGCGGGAGTCTCCTCCTCCTTGATGGCATCCTCCTCCTTGGCCTCCTCAATGGCCTTGTCGTCAGACTTGGCGGCTCCCTTGCCCTTGATGGTAGCACGGAGCTTGGAGAACGCGCCCTTCTTCTCGTCGCCCTCGGCAGCAGGGCCGGGGGACTTGTCACGCTTGCCAAAGTTGAAGGGCAGAGAAGACTTGCGCTTCTCCTTCTCCTTCTTGGCATCGCCGTTGGCCGCAGCGACCTCGGTGGTCTCAGTAGGGACGGTGGCGGGGCTGGAAACATCGACGGCCAAGGGGGTGGTGGCCTCAACGGGAGGGATGACGGGAGCAGACTCAGTGGCGGGGACCTCCTCCTCCTTGGGAGACTCAATCTCGGGCTTGGCCTCAGCAGCCTTCTTCTCCTTCTTAGAGAAGACGTTGCCGAAGAAGCTGGTACGCTTGTTGACGGTAGGCTTCTCCTTGGGGGACTCAGGCTGGAGCTCTTCGCTGGCCTTGGTCTCACCCTCGACGACGGGCTCAACAACAGCGGGGACCTCTTCGGTGGCAGGGGCCTCAACCTCGGGGACGGGCTCAACAACAGCAGGAGTCTCAGTGGCGGGGGCCTCCTCAGTCTTGGCCTCCTCCTTCTTCTCCTCCTTCTTGCCGAAGCCGAAGAAAGAGGTGCGCTTGCGGCTAGCAGAGCGGCGCTCGTTCTCCTTGACCTTGAGCTCATCCTTGGCGGGCTCCTCCTTGGCAGCCTCCTCAGTCTTGGCAGCGGTCTCCTCAGCAGGGACAGCAGCCTCCTCGACAGGGGCAACCTCCTCCTTGGGGGCCTCAGTCTTCTCCTCCTTGGGGGCAGGCTTGAAGCTCTCAATGGTCTGCTTGTAAACCTCAGACTCGGTGACAGCAGTGGCGAGCTCCTTGGCCTCAGCAATCTTCTCCTTCAGTTGGGCGACCCAGTTGTCGCGCTCAGCGGCAGAGGCAGCCTTGAAGCTGTGCTTGTTGCCCTTGGCGGTGAGGTGGAACTTGTTGGAGCCATCGGTCTCGGGCTCAGTGGCATCAGACTACATATTCTAGAGTTAGCCTCTCGCGTATCGACACATGTTGTTCGACGATCTTGCGATGATTGCTTACCAGGTTGATGACGCCGTGGGGGGCCTTCTTGTCTCCAATGAAGAGAAGACCCTTGCCGGTGTGAGCAGCCCAAGCAATGTTGTGCTGGGCAACCTCAGCGTGCTTCTCAGCCCTCTTGTAGGCGGCGAGGACATCAGCCTCGACGGACTCGGAGCCGAAGAAGAAGAAAGCCTTGCTAGCAATCAGGTTCCTGTGACGATGGTGGTTAGCGTCTGTTGCTCGCGAATCTCGCCAGTGGTGATATAAATGCGCTGTACTCACTTGGGGAAGCTGGCGCCCTGAGCCTTGTGTCCCAGGAAGCCCTCCTCGATGGGCTTGGCGGGCTCCTCCTCCTTCTTGTCCTCCTCCTTGGCGGCCTCGGCAGCCTCCTCAGTCTCAGCGGGCTTCGTCTCCTCAGCAGGCTTGTCCTCGACAACAGGGACAGCGGTCTCGACAACGGGGGCCTCCTCAGCGACAACGACGGGAGCGGGAGCAGCGACCTCCTCAGCCACCGGGGCGGCGACGTCAACGGGCTTGTGTTCCTCAGCCATTCTGGATTAGAAAAAAGAGAGTTTTGGGTATCTTAAAGCGCGAAACAAACAAAGGGTATTAAAAAAGAAGGATCCAGAAAAAAGCCTTTCGGATGTGTATGAAAATGGGCGCTGGTCAAGCGTGTGTGAAGAAAGTAGGAGGAGGAGAGAAGCAGCAGCAAGAAGGGGGTGGCAGGACTACTTATTTGCCTGATGAGCGCGAGGAAGGCTAGGGGGTATCGCCCAAAATTGTGTGACCAGCAGAGCAACCCTGCGTCTGAGTGGCCAGCTGGCGACGGAAACCTGAAGCGATAGCCAGAGCAGCGCTTGGAACAGGCATTGACGGCCAAGTATACAGTACAGTGCAGCGCAGCGCAGGGACAGCAGATATCGTGGCCAGTGACGCCACGGCGGGAGAGCTCGCTGCAGCCCACTGTTCGACAGCCCGCTAGCGCTCGAAGCAGCAGTGAATGCCCTGAGACCTGGAGCTCTGGCGCTCTTTTGGGTTGCCGGGGGCGCTGTGGGCCCGGCGTCTGGTCTGTGCAGGCTTTAAGCGAGTGGGCCTGAAATTGCAGACCCGTCCACCGGCCTGCGCTAGTGGCGGACAGAAATGTTCGGCAGCCACCAGGGCTAGCAGCGGCGGCCTTGGCCTGGCCCGGTACCTGCTGACAGTGTCGAGCTGGCGGTATCTGCACCGTCTGATATGTCACTCTGGTCCTCCATTCAGTGACTCCCAGCCTCCACTCCTCATTTTAAACAGCCCTTCTCCTTTGTGCCGTCTGGGCCATGGCTGCTGATAAGCTGGCGAGAATAGACACGAGCGAGCATGCCAGCTGTGCTTGGGTAGATGGCGGCTGACTCGAGAATGCGCGTAGAAGACTCGAAGCTTGCTCGACATGGATCACGGTGAACCATCTAAGATTATATCTTGCCTTGCTCCACGATCCATCTTTTCGCCTGCGTGCAGCTGCGCATCTGCCACCAGTCCGCATAGCGGTAGAAGCAGCACGGCGTATTCCATAGATAGATACGAAGTGTGAGCCCATGCGATTGCCTAGCAGCGGGAGCACGGCGAAGATGCAATGCTATTTCAGACTAACACTTCGTACTAGCATTGCGTCTCCCACCAACAATAGGATAGCCATACAAAGCTGTGTGTAGTCCAAAAAGCGGCCGTCTGAACAATGCCCCCCCTTTTCTGACGCCTTCTCCCCGAGGCTGAAACTATACTTGGTTTTGCTTGCAATGTTATGACCCAGTACGCATTGATTTGCTTTCATTATCCCTAGATAGCGACCCAGAATCAAATATCGCCTCGCGGTACAGAGTGGTATTGGCCATTCTCCAGAAGACGGAATTCAGGTCGCTGCGCTCTTACGCGTAATTAAGCAACAGGATGATCTACACGCCGTGCTCTCGGCGAAAACGATAATCAGGCAGGAGAAACAATCAACTCGAGGGCAGCTCAGTCTTATCCTCGCTCTCCCCTATTCAGTCCCCGTGAGAGCAGCCCGTCATCCAGCCATTTCATATTAATCAGTGATTGATACGGAGTACAAGCCGCGGCACAGTATCGGCACTGTTGCGCCGCGCCGGGTAATTCGCGGCTTTCTGTCACGAGCAACAATGCGCCCAACTGCCTTGTCGATCACTCGCCGGTTTACGGTTTTATTATGTCCACCACAAAGCTCCTCGAGGCTGCTAGTGCGCCAGCTTGTCCCTGGCTGGCCATGGCACGAACTGCAGAAAATAGAATCGAATTTTGCGGTGGATCACAATATGCTCGCTGTACGAGATACGGTGCGGTACGTTGTATTTGCTGCTGGTGGTAGCAGTAACAGTGGCACTCCATACTGACTACAGATTATTGCTGCTAGCACCACGACGTCGCAGAAAATGCAAGCAACATAAACAGGGCAGGGGTGGCCAGGGGGGTTCAAGAGGCTGTTGTTTGAGTGAGTGCCCATTGAGCAATGAAAGGGGGGGGGCACATCTTGGGCCTCCTGATTCTCCTGCAACAAGAAAGCCGCCCTGATGAGTGGCGGTGAAACTCCAGCGCAGCCTCTATTGGAGGGAGGTCAAGCCATACAGGACGGTGTATCAATATAGACGGACATGTGGTGTCAATAATAGCCACCCATAAGAATGCTGGGCTGCATGGAGCAGGTGGGACGAACGGCCGGCGGGCATCTCGATTCTTGCCTCGCCTTCAGGTTCCCGGCTTGACGATGCAGCGAGCCGGCTGCAGAAGAGCGTCATGATGGCCTCCTCCAGTCACTTGCTCCCCTCTCCCGTGTTTGTGGCTCCCTACATATGCACACCATGCAAACTACTGCGGCGAGTGCCTGCGAGCGCACGAGCGAGAGAAGAAGACGCAGCAGCTGAAGCAGTGGTCGCATACACGACCTCCGCCACTGGCCACTCTACGCTGAGACACGATGGTGCTGCGACAACTATGGATAAATGAAGCATTTGCCTTGCCAGGGAACCAACCAAAGGCTGCTCTTTGAACCAAGTACCGAGATGGCACTTGGCTGCACAAGAGTGGCGCGTTGTGGCCCCTTCATGTCCTGCTACCGTGTGCCCCATGTCCATGCATATGCGCCCACGCTGCAAAGTGCTTGGTGTCGAGGGACCCTGGCTTTAACCTAAAAGCAAATGCTTTCACATCACTCCATTTTGATTCCACTTATGGCGCGCCCCTCCTCGTCAGCGAGATTGGCTTCTATCCAGGTATTGTATACACGTACATACGGAGAACCTGCTGCACGTGGGGCAAAGGCCGTTGAACAAGTCATCGCTAAAGCAGACTGCTGGCTGGCGATGGTGTGAGTCGTCATGCGTCCCAGAGTGAGCAGCCATTCGCAGCACGCCACCAATCGCGGCCGCCTCGTCTTCACACATACCGTGCATTCCATCTGGAGCTGGCAGCTAGCCAGAGCTTAGCTGCACCACCACGTTGTTGTCATCGGCCATGTGACGCCTACTTTAGTGTGTGAAGTGGAGGGGCGCCATGAAATTGGCTTGAGACGGACTGCGGCTGCTGCGTTTGCGATGCCCGCACTTGTGCAGACGTATCTATCTGGTATCGACGAGTGCTTCGACGAGGCTGCTGCAAAGAAGCCAAGCTGGGAACAGGCCTGTCTGAGAGACGCCGTCCCTGGCAGTAGCACTTGAGGAGCCATGCACTCAATCTCCCCCCTTTTTAACCAGTCATGACAAAGTATATGTACTGCTACAATCCTGACCTTGTCTATGGAAGATACAAGTATCGACTTGGTATAGGGCAGGGCACTGATCGTTGTTCTTCCCCTTCTTCCCTTGTCATGCACACAACCTCGTACGAGCTATACACAGTACCTACAAATAGGTATGCCGTTATGTACGAGGCTCCTTCTGGTACTACTAGTAATTACAGGTGTTCATCCAAGAAGTGGTACTAGCCATAAAAAGCCCCGACCAGTATCTCCGGCAAGAGAAGGGAAGAAAAAAATTATAAAAATTACAGGGTTCAAAGACCCATTCTTTTAGCAGCTGCTAAAGCCGGAGAGAAGAGATTTCATCCATGCGACAAGGGTCTCCGTCAAATGAGAGGCGCTCGATAAGTCCATGGCCATTACTTGTCGAGACGGAATCATTAAACCAGCCTGGAGATGCAAAATGAAGCCCCTTTCGGCGGCACTCCGCAATACGGATATGGAAGCCCTCGCTTGCTCTGGATCCCTTCACATTCGACGTTGGCGATTGCACTTTGATCAACAGGAGCATGTGAATCGCAATCTCTCTTACCAAGCGGCGCCCTGTATTGTCAGAGCTCAGAGCTACATCCATACACAGAGGCCGTACTGAGCGCAATCAGCACGCAGCCAATACTTTCCAGACACCTCAAGCCAAGGTCAAGTCTCAATCATGCGTGAGCTTTTTTGGTGCGTATGTGGCAAGACAAGCTACCACCGAGAATGCTGTGATCGAACTTGTTCCAGTATACGAATAACCAGCAAGGTTTATATTTTGAACATTGAGAATGGGTAGCGTGAATCATAGGCTCAGCATCTCATTATCTTTCCAAGACCTCTCTGTTTATAGAAGATGGCAACGACGCTATTGCTCTGATATTTTCGACTGCTGTCCGTTTCCTGATGCTGCTCGACTTGGCGCTGCCAATCTTCATGTCAATGCGGCTACCCATTCCCGTCAATCTATCCGCCATGAGGGCCCTGCTCGCCCTCCCGCACTCCTTGACTCATCTGGTTTATTTTAACGGTTCAAAGAAACAGTACGGAGTCCCTATTACCACTGATACTCCATACATAAGTACGAGATACGCCCTAGCGAGCACACCGACGAATAAGGATTCCTGCTAGGACCCGAGATGATTGCGACGGTTTCGCCGCCCCCAGCTACGTGAAACAATTCATTATTAATAGACGAAGATGCTACCATTTTTTTTTTTTTTGTCTTTTTAATCTTATCCATCAGTCTGTGGGGAATACGAGATACAAATGGCACCCTGCAAATAAGACAAAGAGGCCTGGGATTCTTCCCGGTGGCTGGACGTGCGTTGACGCTCGTTAATGCAGCAGAGACAATGAATGGCTCACAGCACTCTGAGAACTCCTTTCTGGCTTTCTCAGCGTCCGCGGCTCCAGCCTATGGCGCCGTCAAGCCGCCTTGTGACGAACAAGCCGCGACTCCACCACTCGGGAGTTGCACGGATCTAGCGTGAGCCCACCAAGGCCGGAATACCTACTTGTACAAGTAAGCAGCCTGTCAAGTTCTGTCACAGCAGCACTGGATGAATGTCACACGCCTACGAAGCACTTTTGCCGCCATCTCAGAACCACATCTTGATCGCCAAGTCACCCCCGCTTCGCCAGTTCATGCTCAAAGCAGTGGGGACGAAATCGCCTAGAGTGGACGTTGTTGCTGGCACACGTTGGAAGACGCCGTTGTCTGTTGATAATCCGTTTCCACTTAAGATCTGTCAACGGCGCCTGTCATGGCAGACGCCAGGCACAATT